GGGGTTAATTCTTCATCCTGCTGTTCCCCTCCACGAGGACAGAGGCTGGGAAGTCAGCTGCTGTTATTCCATGGTCTTAATATAGAACAAAAAGAGTAGTATTTTGTCCTAGATTTAACAGCTGGAGAAATAAAACTACTTTGGGTGTCAGGAGACGCTGTCATGTGTAAGAGGGCATTTCCAGGGTAGTTTAGGATATCTGCTCATTCTACAGTCACAGAAATATATTTAAATCACAGCTATGGTGCACTCTAATGGGAACAGAGGGCCTAAGTGAATTATTGATTGTTTTGCACATTTGATAAGGAAGTCAGAAGAGGAAGGATGCCTAATATACAGAAATAGATTGGAAGCCTCCCATGGGTTGAAACAGAAGTGCAAGCGTGAGAAGGTCTTAAAATAGCCAACAGTTTTCACTGCTGCAGGTACAAAAGGCCTTGAATCAGTGGAATACTTCAGGTGAAGATCCAGGGGGATGGATCTGCTCCTTGCCTCCTGGTTTTTTTTCCCTTTTTGCTCTCAGTGTATGTGCTAAGTGCCCATAAGCTGCCTCCCTTCATCTCCTTAGGTAAGCGTGGGAAGAAAATGTTCCAATTTAACATGAAAAATCTCAGACACCATTTAGAGATTGAGGTATTCTCCAATCTGCCCTGCCCCAGTCTCCAGGGAGACTGTTCCCATGCCATTCTGCATTTATATTTCTGCACAGATAATTTCACTGATCCAAGGGCTGCTTGGAGGATTGCTGGGGGAGCTTTTTTTAAACCACAGACAGGGTGTAGTGGCTTTGTACGAGCGTCACTGAATTGTTTCCAACATTCAGCTCCTCACCTGTCTGGATGGTGTGTGAGGGCTGACAGACAGATGGATGGACAGACCGTGCTCTGTGTGAGAATGCAAACAGCTGAGCCAAAGTTTAATCCTCTCCCCAGCCTGTGACCTTTTTATTCAGGCTTGCACCTGGCAGGAGCAGCAATCATTCATGGATGTGGCCTCGGAAACAGCTGCAGATCTGGCAGTGGAGTTAAATTTAAAAAGGGTGAAGCAGGCGTACGTGTGAGGGGGGTAAATCAACAAAATCACTTCCTAGACCAACTGTAAAGAGAAAACAGGGCTGTAAGAATATCAGTCGAGGCCTGCAGTGAGTACACCAGAAAAGAGGGCTGTAAGAATATCAGTCGAGGCCTGCAGTGAGTACACCAGAAAAGAGGGCTGTAAGAATATCAGTCGAGGCCTGCAGTGAGTACACCATGTCTCTTCTGCTGAATACAATGATGTTTGTGCAGAAAGGTTTGCAGAACTGGGGCACAGAGACCTGAGAGTGTGACTGTGACTCACTGCAGGTCCGGGCCATGTGCAGACACAGCTCCAGAGCAGCTGGGAGGGGAATGGGATCGGCCTGGGGTGAGCTGGGCAGGGCTGGGAGGCCACCAACAAGAGGATGAGCAGTTGCTGTGGCACTTCTGTCACCCTTTGTGCCATGGCTCACTCAGAGCTGGCTCAGGAGCTTCTCAATGCCACAGCTGAGATGGGCTCTCAGCAGAGAACTGCAAATCCCTTTCCAGCACAAAAATATTTTATTCCACCAGAGCAATTCCCAGCTCGGATCTGGCTGGACACTGCCCACCTGCTGGACAAGCCAAGATAAACCAGTGCAGATTCCTGCCAGTGCTGTATTTCCTGCAGCCTGTTTTTAGCAGAAACCTGGGAGTGCAGTTAGGAATAACCTGGCTGTCCTGGCAGAAGGCTGCACTGTAGGAATTGTTGTATTCCATGGAGCTAAACACAAGGAAAATATACTCATGGTAGGGGAGAAAGGCTTAAATGTCTGATTATGTCTTCAAAAAGAAGCAATTTTTAACAAGAAGGGCAAGATTTGCAATAAAACTTGTCAATTTGTAAATGTTTGGTAGCAAGGCACTGCAAGACAGCAGATGGAGGTGTGAAAGGGGTTTGGGTTTTTTCCTGTCTAACACCTCCTTTCTCCAGCAGTCTTCCTCTGTTTTAAGAATAACACTTCTTCAATAATGACTCACAGCCAGTGCCACAAAAATCCTGGCTGTCAGAAAAACTGCTGGGTGTCTGACAGGAGTGCAGCTTGCAGGGAACATTGGTTTCTTCTGTCTCTGCTGAAAAAAAAATCCTCACAGCTCGAGGATTGTTATTCTACAGAGTGGCCCTACTTAGAGATTCCAGGCACAAGACAATTACCTTTCTTTCCTTGCTGGATGTAATTAATAGATGTGGTTTTCTTCGCAGGCACGTGGAACGGACCACATTGTCCAGAGCTAGGAGATGAAAATTCCCCAGGAAATCAGGCTTCTCTCCTGGGAAAGATGGATAAACCCCACGGTGTACCAGCGGGGACTGGAATATTCCCCACATCCTGCTAGATCTCTGCTAATCAGAAAAGAAAAGAGAGCCTCTGCTCAGAAGGGAATAAAGACATCCTGAGGGATAATCCAGCAGAGGAAGCTGGCAGAGCCACAGCCCTCTGCCACCTCACAAAAATCTGCAGTTCTGTGGGGAGCTAAACCTCAGGAAAAAGAGCAATTTTAGTCTTCCTGGATGGCCTGAAGGTAACAATGCTGCCCTGTGCAACAGAGTTGCTGCCAGAGCAGCTGCAGGGATGGGAACACATTTCTCAGTTATTGGAGCAGGGAATTGTGCTGGGATTCCTGGGTTCTTCCCCCAGCTCTGCCTTTGATTTGTGGTGTGTGCAGACCCCTTAATTTGTTTCTGTTTTCCCCATCTGTGGAACTGAGATAAGATCACAGGGGAATTGTAAAGTGTGCTTCATTAATGTTTATTAGATGGGGGAAATCCTTAAATGAATGGCACTGTATTCCAGGAGGACAAAGTTCAAGACTGCAAAGGGGTTGATTAAAACAAAATCTGCTATTCCCGGGCTGGGAGGACAAAAAAAAAAAAAGAAAAAAAAAGAGAATAGAAAAACCTTCCCTAGCCCTGTGTCTGCCAAAAGAAGGATATGATTTAAATAAAATAATGCAGACTGCAAGTGTGCAGGGTGCATAAATGTGTGTCTCTTAAAACCATTAAATATTTCTTGGCAAATACACAGCAAAAAGTGAAATGAGGGTGTGTTTGCAGTTTCAAATGTGTGTATGATCACCATTAACTGTACATTACCAGTGGCAACATGACATAAGTTAATGGTGAGGCAATAAATTTGGTATTTTCCATAAAGGGGTGTACCAACATAGAGTGTATTGGCACGTTCCACTATTTTTTGTCAGATCATCACAAACCAGCTTATTGTGGGATTTTACAATGCCTGCTTGCTGGCAGACGAAACAATTATTTGTAGGTTAGACAAAGCTAACTGATGGAACCTATGGAATATCTTCCAAGCCTCAGAGTGCATGTTCCTAGTGGGGAAATATTTCTCCCATTGTGCCAAAGGCAAAAATTGAGGGAATTTGGGAATATTCAGACTCAGCGGGTGGCCTCAATTTGCTCCTGTGTGACACCAAATTTACTCTATGCTTCTTTTTGCTGATAGAAATTTGGGAATATTCAGACTCAGCGGGTGGCCTCAATTTGCTCCTGGTGTGACACCAAATTTACTGTATGCTTCTTTTCGCTGATAGTGCCCAATGGAGGGTGAAACAACAGTGTGTGAGGGGAGAAAGCACTGAGCTACGGGCAAAATACACCACAAAAAAATCGCGTTTTGGGGAAAAACTGGAGAGCTGGACTGCGGCTGGCGTGTGTTCAGTGTTCTGTGCTTGCCACCTTCAGGCCTGCTGTGAACTCACAGCCGGAGCTGCAGCGCCTTCATTTGTTCATCACAGGCACTTTTGGGGTTATGAATGTCCTTAAAAATCACATTTGTTACCCGCAGCACAACAAGGCGACACCTGCGCGCTGCAGAGACATCAATTATTTATTTCAGCCTTGCCAAGCCTGGGTGAACCTCACAGATCAGGCACCCCAGCCATCAAAACTTTTTACTGTTTACACGTTTTAGCAAACAAAGGAATTAGTGTTCATTTGCCACCAGTCACATAGTCCACTCGTTAATTAGTATTCTATCTTCTGCCGGTTAATGATTCGCTTCTGACGCTAATTAGCGCCGTGCTGAGTCCTTCTCTTTGGGGTCAGTGGGTTTCTTGGGTCGGTGGTCACAGAATTACCAGAATTACCTTTTACCCACTTGGAGCTGAGTTGGGTTTATCAGTTTCTTCCACATCTTGGCAGTTCTGCCAGATGTCCCCTAAATTCTGCATTCTTTGTATCCACTACCAAGGCTATCCTTTTTTCCCCCACAGCTTTGTTAAGCTGCCCCTAAGTCTGACATCACTGAAGCATGTTCAACCCTAAACTTGTAAAAATTCTAACAAGCAATTTGTTTTTTTCTAACACGTCACTTAGAACTTGTTGGCTGCTCTCTGTTTCAGAGATTCAATCTCATCCCTTCTTGATTAGGCTTGAAAGTATAAAAAGATCAAACACCAAGGAGCTTTTTCTCTCTCAAGGAAGATTTGCTGCAGCATGTTTGTTTATCAATATTTTACTATCTTCTATATGCGTACAATTGTGTTTTGTTCAATATTGTGTAACAGCCTAATGCAACACATTATGACATTTAGCTGATCTATGGAAAGAGAATGTTACTCTGATTTATGACAGAATTCCAGATAGTTTCTTGTCCCTTAGATTTTAGACTATGTGGCAAGATGCTTTCTTTCTAATCAGGGTCGTTCCATCAGGACTTTAAGGTGTGCACTCAAGGCTCAAGTTTTGTCACGAAATAAATCTGAGCAGACCGGTCTGGCGGGAATTCTCCCCGCCCGTTGATTTCGAGGTCCTTCCAACCCTTCGCACTTTGTAACTTGGCCATTTTTGTCATTTTTCGGGCAATCCCGTTGCTCTGAGGCGCCCTGAGGGGAGCGCGGCGGGGGCGTGGCCTAATGAAGAGGCGGGAAGCTGCGTGGAGGCGTGGCTTAACGAGGAGGCCGCGGAGGGGGCGTGGCGCGCATGCGCGAGGCGCGCGGCACCGGCGGGGCGCGGGGGGCGCGCGCCGTTCCCGCCGGGGGCGCGCGGGGTTCCCCGTCAGGTGCGCGGGGTGGGCGGGGCCTCGGGTGAGGCAGGTGAGGCCCGGGAGCCGCCATGGACGGCCCCGCCCTGCCCATCCGCCGCTCCCGCCGGGAGCTGGTGCAGGCCGTGAGGGAGCGGCCCTTCCTCATCGTCACCGGCGAGACGGGCAGCGGCAAAAGCACGCAGCTGCCCAGGTATCTCTACGAGGCAGGTAACGGAACCGCCCCCCCCTCCCCGTCCGCGGGCTGCGGATGTGGGGCACAAACTCAAATTGTTTTGAGTCCCCCTGTCCCCTCTCGGGTGACGCAGCTTGGGGCTGGGCTGTGGTGAGAGGAGGTGGCTTGGTTAAACCTTTTAAATAAAAAAAAACCCACCCCAAACTGTGGCCATGTGTGCGTTGCGTAGGTAGGTGTTATGAAGTGACCTGGAGCAGCACAGCCCCGTGTGCCACAATCACTGGGGGTGTTCAGCCGGGGGTGATCCTAGAGACACTCCCAGTACCTGGAGGAGTGGCAGGACACAGGGAATGGCTTCCCGCTGCCAGAGAGCAGGGTTAGGGGGATATTGGGGAGGAATTGTTCCCTGCGAGGACAGGAGAGCCTGGCACAGTTTGCCCAGGGAAGATGCCCCATCCCGGCGAGCATCCGAGGCTGGAGAACGCTTGCATCAACACATAGTGGAAGGATGTCCCAAGAAGGGGTGGAATGAGATGATCTTTAATGTCCCTTCCAACCCAAACCCTCCTGTGTCCCCCCAGGCCTGGCCAAGCACGGTGCCATCGGTGTGACCCAGCCCCGGCGCGTGGCCACCGTGTCGGTGGCACAGAGGGTGGCCGAGGAGATGGGCTGTGCCCTGGGGACTCTCGTGGGCTACCAGGTCCGATTCGACGACTGCACCTGCGAGGTGGGGCCCTGGGGACTGTCCTGGGTGTGTGGCAGGGTCACCCAGGCTGTCTCAGAGCTTTTCCCAGCTGTGTGTGTCCTCTGGCTCGTTTGGGGGAGGTTTTTGGGCACCTTGTGGGTGGAACGTTGCCAAGCACCCCCCGTGCTGCTGTGCATGATAAGAATTATTTTATGCACAATAGGAATTATTTTAGCTGTAGAATCCTACATCAATGCATGGGCATTCCCTTAAATATCTTTAGTTTATGATGACCACAATAAAACCCCGCCCCAAAGCACCAGAATATTATAACAAAAGGGTTCATCAACACCCTTTACTTTACTTTATCTTCCCTTAAATATCTTTTAAGGAAAACCCTTGTGGCGTGCTGGACAAATGTGTGATGTGTGTAGAAGTGTTTGCTGTGAAATAAAAAGCCAGGCTGGCAGGTGACAGTGTGGTTGAACCTTGCAGGACACTGCCATCAGGTACATGACTGATGGGTGCCTGCTGAGGCAGATCCTGGCTGACCCCCTCCTCAGCAGGTACAGTGTCATCATTTTGGATGAAGCCCACGAGAGGAGCCTCAGCACTGTGAGTGTCACCTCATAGCTGGTTTTTTGGGTCATTGTTTCTCCTTTTCTGTGCTCTGTTTATCCCTTCCTTTCCCTTCAGCACAATTCCCAGGGGTTTGGACTGACTTTCCGTGGATGTGCTTTGTCCTTTTGCTGTCCTAAGAGCACAGAAGTGCTGTATTGTTTAATCTATGCTGAAAATAAGTTATGGCCTCTAATAGTGTTGGAGTTTTAACATTTAAATGCAGTTAAAACTTTGCTGGCTGTTGAATACTCTTCCAAAATTTCCAGGAGTTTGAAACCAGAACACAGACTTTCTAGAATACTAATTTAAAAAATAAACCATCGCAAAATACATCAAAAAAAAAAAGCCAAAGCACCTCATTGCCCTAAGGCCCAATGTTTCTTAGGGTGTGTAAACGACTGTGCAAAGAGATTATGGCTGTTGGGTCCATGGGAGCATCTAGACCTCAGTCCCAAAAGCTTTCAGAGGTCACCCTGACCCTTCTGTGGCCAGCAAAGGGACATTGAGGTCACTGAGACCTCAGGAGGTCGTGCTGTGTGTCAGACAACCTCCTGCTCCAGCACACAATCTCCCAGTCCAGCTGGGAAAGGGGAAAATGCTCCCCTGAATCCCAGTTTGCCCTCAGGCATCTGAGGGAGTTGCAAATAACTGAGCTGAAGGTGGTGGAAGGAGCAGACTTGTAATTCCAAGCAGCACAGAGTAAAATAAACTTGCTGAGGTTGTAGCAATAAATAAAACCAGGGAAGGGTGCACACACAGTCAGGGGACACAGGCTGGAAAATGGGTCTGAGGAAACTTCTCACAAATGACTTGACCAAGAGAGTGTAAAAATGAAATACAAAGGAGTTTGAGTTACATTGGTGCTGTCTATAGGCTGTGAGGAGAGCTGGTAAAAAATTCATTAAACTCTAGAAAGGGCAAATGTGTGTTTTCTTCAGAGTGCTTGGGCCTGTAATACGTGATTTTCACTGTATCAATGGGATAAAACCATCAAAATTCCAAGTTTGTCAGGCTCTTCTAACAAAACCAGGGTATCAACATCAGCTGCCTCTGTTTTTCTGCTAGGATATTTTATTTGGTTTGCTGAAGAAGCGGTTCCTGCAGGAGAAGCCAGCAGGCAGGAGCACAGACATGAAGGTGGTGGTGATGTCAGCCACCCTGGAGGTGGAAAAGCTCTCAGAGTTCTTTGGGCACTGCTCAGTGCTGCACATTCCAGGGAGAAGTTACCCTGTCAAGGAGATATTCTGCAACCTGCTGAGCCCCAGGGATGTGGGCAGCTCTGCCTATGTCACAGAGGTTTGTTTTCTCTCTGGTTTTGGGGTGATTTTCATCTGGGGGAGGCCACAAGAATGAGCTGCTGTATTCTCTGCAGGAAATAGGGAAGGATCAGTTGGTGTGATGAGTCCTAGCAAGAATTAAATGGGATTTCAACTAATTTTAGCTTGTTTGTTGATTGTTCCAGGCTGTGAAGGTTGCCCTGGATGTTCACTTAAATGAGCCAGAAGGTGACATCCTGGTTTTCCTCACAGGTGAGAATTTTCCTGGATACTCCAGGTGAATCATGGCACTGCCAGCAAAGTAGAAAAGCTTCCAAAGCCTGCCTGGTTTCTCCCAGAGCAGTGTGAAGGGAAAGGTGCAGGTTGATGCACAAAGTCCTTGAAATTGTAGTTTTCAGAGCATTTTAGGAATAGGCAGATTGACTCTGTGTTGTCTCCATGGTTTAGTTTGTGGTTAATTCATGGAGGAAGAATTTTTTTAGCTGTAAAATCCTACATCAGTGCATGTAAAAGGCCCATATCTAATATTAATATTAATATCTAATATCTAATAAAAAGATATCTAATCTTTTAAGGCAAATCCTTGGTGGGAGGCCCTGTGGAAAGGCTGGATGTCACCTCCCAAACTCCTTCTCATTAATTCCTCATTTTAATGACGTTGGTGTATTGCATATTGACAAAACAACCTTTTTTAAAGGTATTGCAAACCAGGAAGGCAGAGCTGTAGCTAATTAGGTCACTAAAATGCTCTTGTGTGTCTTTTAGGCCAGAATGAGATAGAAAGAGCTTGTGATTTGCTTTTCAAGAAAGCAGAGTCCATCGATTACCGCTACGAGGTGCACGACCGGGCTGTGGAGGGGCTCCTCATCCTGCCTCTCTATGGCTCCATGTCCACAGGTCAGAGCCCAAAATCCCACTCAGTCACAGGAATCTGAGCTGCAGGAGTTGTTATAAATATTATCCTCATCAATTTTTCTGTTTGGGTTGGGAACTCCTCATCCTGCCTCTCTATGGCTCCATGTCCACAGGTCAGAGCCCAAAATCCCACTCAGTCACAGGAATCTGAGCTGCAGGAGTTGTTATAAATATTATCCTCATCAATTTTTCTGTTTGGGTTGGGAACTCCTCATCCTGCCTCTCTATGGCTCCATGTCCACAGGTCAGAGCCCAAAATCCCACTCAGTCACAGGAATCTGAGCTGCAGGAGTTGTTATAAATATTATCCTCATCAATTTTTCTGTTTGGGTTGGGAACTCCTCATCCTGCCTCTCTATGGCTCCATGTCCACAGGTCAGAGCCCAAAATCTCACTCCATCACAAAAATCTGAGCTGCAGGAGTTGTTATAAACATCATCCTCATCAGATTTTCTGTTTGAGTTGGGAAAAGGGTGTTAATGAACCCCTTTGTTACAATATTCTGGCACTTTGGGGTGGGGTTTTATTGTGGTCATCATAAACTAAATCAAACTTCAGCCTCCTCTGCTTGCACTGGAGCCTCCAGTCAAAATCCAAATCCACTGGATATGACTTCAAGATCTTCAGTTAAGAAGGGAATATTGAGTAACAGAAAGTCCAGATGACCTTGCACTGGAGCCTCCAGTCAAAATCCAAATCCACTGGATATGACTTCAAGGTCTTCAGTTAAGAAGGGGATATTGAGTAACTGAAAGTCCAGATGACTTCATATTTTATTTTATTTTATTTTATTTTATTTTATTTTATTTTATTTTATTTTATTTTTTATTTGGCACTGCTTTATTTTGCATTGCTTTATTTTATTTTGTCATTTTATTTTACGTCATTTTTCTGTCATTTTAGATCAACAGAAGAGGATATTTTTGCCAGCCCCCAGAGGCATCAGAAAATGTGTGGTGTCCACAAACATTGCTGCAACATCTCTGACCATTGAAGGAGTCAGGTATTGATTTCTGTCCCCTCATAACAGGGAGTAATTCAGAAAGGTCTGGGTTTGGAAAAACACATTTTTTCTGCTACTATTGCCTTTTTTTTTGGGTGTGTAGTAAGAAAACCATTGATATTATTATAGTCTTAGAGGTGACCAATATTTTTGAATCTATTTTGAAATCAAATCTACTAAATAACCAGGTGCTAGGTAGAATAATGTGGGTTTTTTAATTAAATCCATGTGTCAATTACCTGCTGAGCCCTCTGGTTTTTACCTCTCTGGATTGTTTTCTTCAGATACGTTGTGGACAGTGGCTTTGTGAAGCAGTTGAATCACAATCCCAGAGTTGGTTTGGACATCCTGGAGGTGGTTCCCATCTCAAAGTAAGTTAAAAATGTCACTCACTTGCTGTTTCTGGGAGCTGCTCTGGCAGTAATGCTCTGTGTTGGTTGCTCTTTAAAAAAATAAATAAAAAGATAGGCAGCAGCCTTGAAGCCTATGATTTAAAACCCCTTTTAAGGTTTAAAAGCACTGTAAGGTTTAAAAGCACTGTAAGGTTTAAAATCACTGTAAGGTTTAAAACCACTTTAAGGTTTAAAAACACTTTAAGGTTTACGCTTTAAGCGTTAAAAACCATTTTAATGTTTAGAAACCACTATAATTGCTTTCAATTAACCAAGTTAAAAGTGGTTCAGGATATGCAACTTTGTGAAAGTTACAGATATTAAGGAGGAATTGGTGTTGTCTGAGCTCTGAGCAGTGCTGGCTGAATACAACAGAAAAATGTCCAAAATGTCCAAAAAATACAAAAAAATTCTTCTGTACTTCTTGCTACAGCTGGATTTTTCAGCTGCTGTGCAGGAATACCTCTTCTATCTATAAAAAGAGATATTTCTATGCTTCTTTGGGGTGGTACCAGCAGGGATGAGAGGTTTGAATTTTGGGGTTTTTTTGGGGGCAGGAGCGAAGCCAAGCAGCGAGCCGGACATCAGAGGGGAAAAGCTTTGGGTTGTACAGCAGGGAGTTCTGGAAGCAGTGCATGCCCCAGCACACCTAACTAATTTAAAACCAAGTAAAAAGTGGTTCAGGATATGCAACTTGATAAAAGTTACAGATATAAGGAGAGAATTGGCATTGTCTGAGGTCTGAGCAGTGCTGGCTGAACGCAACAGCATCCAAAAAATGCACGAAATTCTTCTTTATTGCTTGCACAGCTGGATTTTTCAGCTGCTGTGCAGGAATACCTCTTCCATCTGTAAAGAGAGACATTTTGTGCTTGTTTTTGGTGGTACCAGCAGGGATGAGAGATTGGATTTATTTTTTTGGGGGGCAGGAGTGAAGCCAAGCAGCGAGCCGGGCGCGCCGGCCGGACGTCGTCGGGGAAAAGCTTTGGGTTGTACAGCAGGGAGTTCTGGGAGCAGTGCATGCCCCAGCACACCGTGCCAGAGATCAGGAGAACCAGCCTGACATCTGTGATCCTCACCTTGAAATGCCTTTCCGTGCATGATGTCATCAGGTGAGCTCCCTGCAGGGGGATTATCCCTGGCCCAGAGGGGCAGGATTAGGTTCCCCAGCCAAGTGGGACACTTCAATCAGCTTTGCTGCTGCTCTCCTCTGCCACTCCAGGCTGGATCCCAAGCTCCAGGCCAGCTTCAGGATCTGCCAAAACTCCCATCTCGCCCAAATTAAATTAGTTTGTTTGTAGCATTCTTTTAAATACATAAAATCCTGCATTTTATACCTTTTAATGCTTAAAATCCTTAAGATACTGGCTTTTAGTGTTCTTTTAAATACTTGAAATCCTTAAAATACTAGTTTTTGCACATTTAAATACTTAAAATACTGGGTTTTACACATTTAAATACTTAAAATATTTAAAATACTGGGTTTTAGACCTTTAAATGCTTACAATCCTTAAGATACTATTTTTTAGTGTTCTTTTTAATACTTAAAATCCCTAAAATACTGGGTTTTACACCTTGAAATACTTGCAGTCTTTAAAATACTGGTTTTTACACCTTTAAATGCTTAAAATCCTTAAAATGCTGGTTTTTACACATTTAAATACTTAAAATGCTGTGTTTTATACCCCAAAAGTTTCATCTCTCTGGAATTTTTTAGTTCTAAGACCATACAAGAGTAGAAAATGCAGTTTAGTGTTTGCCATGCTGGGATTTGTCATAGAAATTCCTCAGCTGGAGGTTGTACAGGAACACACAGAAGATGATTATTGTGATTACCTAACTTGGGTCAGAAAACCTGCATTGGGGAGGTTTAAAAATTATTTTTATAAATATAAAAAATTTAAAATAAATTTAAAAATATATTGAAAAATGAAATTTAAAATATTTAAATATTTTAAATTATTTTCATAAATATGAAAATAATAAATCTATCTCATTTTTAACCCTAGGTTTCCCTATTTGGACCCCCCTGAGGAAAGACACATTTTGGAAGCTCTGAAGGAACTTTACCAGTGCAGTGCTATTGACAGGTAAAAACCAAAAGATTTCACACAAGAATTTCAAATCCAAGGCTTAAATTGATGTTTTTTGTGGATTAAAGGACACTCCTCAGCAGCAGAATGTGTTTCCTTATTTAACCTCCAGGAAGTTTACTGGGGTTTAATATACTGTCTGCAGAACCAGGGACAGAGCAGAGTTTGGGGTTTGGGAGATAAAAATCAGGTTCTGCACATTGTCCTGGAGTTCCTGAGTGAGCTCAGCTCTGCAGCTCCCAGGCTGGTGTGGCTCAGCAGCTCAGGCTCTGCCTGGATGTCCCTCCAAGAGCTCGAGGCAGGAAGTGAGATCTTATCCTAAGCTTCCAGGAATTCTTCTTGTAAATAATATTTAAAAAAATAAAATAAAAAAGCTGGCTGTGCCTGCCATGGACAGACACAAGCAAGCTGGAGAAATGTGGATTATTTTATTGCTAATGACACTTCCCCATGGCCCCAGCACCTGTGTGGGCACTCACAGTCCAGAGGAAAGTGCTTCTTACCTAATTCACATTTAAACATAATTTCATTGAATCTGTATATATATAAATAGATATATTTAGATAAGATAATATATAAAAATATTATATGTATGATATATATGTGTATATATTATATATATTATTTATTTTATATACATAAACATTATTTATATATGCATATATTACATTATTCATTATATATTATTATATATAAATAGATAATATACATAATGATATATAATAAGATATATTACAATAAGATGTATAATAAAATATAGAGAAATATTAAAATATATATTTAAATAGACATATTTTTCCTGTAAATATATATAATACAAATATATATATTTCCTGTAAATATATATATATTTTTAATATATAAATATATATTTCCTGTAAATGTATATAAATATATGTAATATATACATGTAAATTTTTTTTTTCTCTCCTATAAGGAGGGGCCAGGTGACAAGACTGGGAGAATTCCTGGTGCAGTTTCCCCTCCCTCCCAGCCTGTCCTGTGCTCTGATAAAAGCTGCTTCCCTGGACTGTGAGGATCTCCTGCTTCCCATTGCAGCCATGCTGTCCGTGGAAAACGTCTTCATCCGTCCAGGTGGGAGCCCCTCTTCCCCAAAAACCCTCCCAGCCCTGGAGTCAGGGCACTCTGTGTGCCTGGAACTGCTGCAGAGGCCTCAGGGCAGCAGGCCTTGGGTTGGGAAAGTGCCTCAGCTGAGAGGTCAGCAGGGGAAATCTCTGTGCCATAAAAAATGAAGAGGAAAAAATCCCAAAAGAAAACCAAAATGCACCCCAGCAGATGGGTTGCTGTGGCTGTGAGTGCAGACAGCAGGGACTGGTTGTTTTTAGCAAATGTGGCATCACCTCTGGAGTGTCTTTGCTGTTCAGTAACTGTTTAACCAAATAGATTATTGCCTTTCTGTGGGAGGCTTGGCTTGGCACTGCCTCGTTTCCATTGGTTTTTTAAGTGGAAAATGTCATTTTGCTGTGCTTCCAGGGTAGTGTCAGTGCAGCACAGTTCCACTAGAGCTGAGCTCAGTCTTTCACTGGTGCTGAACTCGAGTTTGTCCCATCCTCCTGTCCCCTCCTGCTGCCCCCCCAGCTGTGGCACATCTGCAGTCCTGGTGGTTCCTTTGTCGTGCCCAGTCCCTGCCTGGCTCTGCTGCAGTTCTCTCTGTCCTCCCTCAGCTGTGCCCGTTGGAGCAGCAGCCACAGCCCTGCTGCCAGCCCTGAGCTCTGGGTTCTGCCCTGGGCTCCTTCCCTGTCCCACAGTGTGGGGGTGTTCGAGGGTCCCAGGGTGAGGGAAGAGATCAGAATCTTGACTCTGTGTTTCAGAAGGCTGATTTATTATATTATGACATTATATTCTACTAAAATGCTATACTAAAGCTATACTAAAAAAAGTAGAGAGGAAAGATCCATCAGAAGTCTGGAAAGCAAAGGAATGGAATGATAACAAAAGCTGGTGACTCTCAGAGAGTCCAAGCTGACTGATTGGACATTAATTAGAAACAACCCACACGGACCAATCAAAGATGCACCTGTTGCATTCCACAGCAGCAGATAATTATTGGTTTTCTTTTCCTTTGAGGCTTCTCAGAGGAGAAAAAATCCTGGCAAAGGGATTTTTCAGAAAATATCATGGTGACACCACAGCTGTCCCTTTGCTTCCCCACCCTCTGTGCCCCCTGTGTTCTGCCTGTCACCCTCCAGCAGCCCTGTGCTGTTTCCATTGGTTTTTTAAGTGGAAAATGTCATTTTGCTGTGCTTCCAGGGTAGTGTCAGTGCAGCACAGTTCCACTAGAGCTGAGCTCAGTCTTTCACTGGTGCTGAACTCGAGTTTGTCCCATCTTCCTGTCCCCTCCTGCTGCCCCCCCAGCTGTGGCACATCTGCAGCCCTGGTGCTTCCTTTGTCCTGCCCAGTCCCTGCCTGGCTCTGCTGCAGTTCTCTCTGTCCTCCCTCAGCTGTGCCCGTTGGAGCAGCAGCCACAGCCCTGCTGCCAGCCCTGAGCTCTGGGTTCTGCCCTGGGCTCCTTCCCTGTCCCACAGTGTGGGGGTGTTCGAGGGTCCCAGGGTGAGGGAAGAGATCAGAATCTTGACTCTGTGTTTCAGAAGGCTGATTTATTATATTATGACATTATATTATATTAAAATGCTATACTAAAACTATACTAAAAAAAGTAGAGAGGAAAGATCCATCAGAAGGCTGGAAAGCAAAGGAATGGAATGATAACAAAAGCTGGTGACTCTCAGAGAGTCCAAGCTGACTGATTGGCCATTAATTAGAAACATCCAACATGGACCAAAGATGCACCTGTTGCATTCCACAGCAGCAGATAATTATTGGTTTTCTTTTCCTTTGAGGCTTCTCAGAGGAGAAAAAATCCTGGCAAAGGGATTTTTCAGAAAATATCATGGTGACACCACAGCTGTCCCTTTGCTTCCCCACCCTCTGTGCCCCTGTGTTCTGCCTGTCACCCTCCAACAGCCCTGTGCAGGGCAGCAGACACAGATCTCCATCCTCCAGGCACTTTTTCCAGTGCCAAATGTGTAGGATGAGGCTCTCTGCTCCATCCTTTTTAATTGGGGTACCCACAAACTTCTGACACCCCCTACCTCAGCAGCAGTCCAGTGGCCTTTGGTTCCTGCCTCCCTCTCCCAGGGGGAATGGGTTGTGCTGGAGGAGAAATCAAACTTTTTGAGTGTTTAAAACCTGAGATAACAATGGAAATGTTGCATTTGATGAAGGTGAAATCCCACTAAACTCACAGATCCACGGTTTTTATCTTTATTTATTTTAAGATCTTCATTACTGTGGCAATAGGAAAAAGCTGAGTTCAGTAGATTAGAGGGTGCTGTGCTGGGGGGTTCAACAGTCTTGTTTTTCCTCTCCCTTGATCCCTGTGAGCTGTTTGTTTATTCCTTTATCTTTCCATGTCAGCCTCCTGATGGACTGTGAGTGAGAAATACTTGCTAAGAGACTGGAATTCTTCATCCCTGGTGCTGACTGATGAGATTAATCATAGATTTAATAACATCTACTGTGCTCTTGTTCAGCAATAGTGGAAGAAGGAACAACTGTAAATGTAGCTGTAGAAGGAGAGACAAATCCAAAAATAACAGGAATAGAGAGCCAAAGCTGCCAAAAACAAACAGAAAATTAGGTAGTGATAAATAAAAATGACCTTAAGTCATATAGTTTATTATTTATTGAGATATAACTTATTCCTCAGGTGATCCTCAGAAGCAAAAGGAGGCTGAGCTTCAACACCAGGAACTTGCCTCACAAGTGGGAGGATGCAATGACTTTGCAACCCTCTTAAATATTTTTGAACAGTGCAAAGCAAGGTATGAAATTCTCCCTTACACTAAGTGGTTTGGCACTGCTCATAACTCCCAGTTTTTAGCTGTGCTGCAGATACACATCTGTGTGCTCATTCCTAATTTCAGATTTATTCCTTGTTGTGATCTGTAATTTCCATCCAGACACTTTATTTAACCCCACAAAGTGTCTGCCTGTGTAGGTTGTTGCTTTTGTATGACCATACAATAAAATAGAGGCAAGTTTCTTTGCAAGCAGCTGACAAAGGGCTTCTTTATAATTCAAATATTCCTGTTCTCAGCAAGTCTCCTTCAGCCTGGTGCCAGAAATACTGGATCCATTGGAGAGCTGTGAAATCTGCTTTTAGTGTGGAAAGGCAGCTGCGGGAAATAACCACTAAACTGAAACAGGTAAAAAAAATAACATTTCTGGGCATGTTTGAGCTGTATAAACTTACATTTAAGAGTTGTAGTGGGTGCTGAGCCTTTGCCAGGTGGCTGCTGCTTTCCTCCAGTAGAAAATAAACCACTTAAATATTTTTGTAGAGCACCCTTGCTTGTGTGACTGAGGTACAGTGGTGGTAATAGGCAAGAAGGAGAGGTTTTTCTCCTTTCCTCGTGGTTTCTGTCCAGAGTTTAAAATCCATGGGATGGAGGGGGTTTAACTGCTTTTTTTCTTGAAGATCCATCCTGATTCATGCTGCTTTTTCTTTTCCCAGCTGCCAGACTTCCCTAAAGAGACATTTGAAGGCTCCAGAACTGAAATACTGAGAAGATGCCTGTGTGCAGGATACTTCATCAACGTTGCTAGGAGGTGAGGAATGAAGTTTGGAGAACTAAATGGAAAATAAATTATGCAAATGACTTTAAAGTGTGGTTTTATGTTGGTAAAAGCAGCAAAGTAGAAACTGCAGGTGAAGGAGATGTTTCTGCAAGGGGCTGGAACCTCTGCTTTTGCCTGTCTTCACCATTCCAAGGGTGTCAGCAGCTTCCCAGGAATGTCATTTTTCTGTCTGTGAAATGAGCTCACCAGCTGAGAGTGGTTCCAGATATTCAGCTGAAGGGCTTGGAATTCTCCAATTATCACAGTTTTCAAAGGCTTCACTCCCAAACCCTGTTGTTATTGTGGTGTTACACCTGCAGTGCTGCTGTGGTGAATTAGATATATTGTATTTCACTCTTTAAATGGTTTTTTACAGTTTGAGTCTGGAAGCACCATCCTCTAGGTAGATATTTGAGAACTTTTTTCTGTGCTGCTGCTGATTTGTTTAGTTCAGTGTTTCTGTCTAATCACAGCAATGTGTGTTTTGTTTTCTTGTTGTTTTTTTAATTTCTTTTTTTCAGATCTGCAGCCAGGACATTCTGCACCATGGATGGCCATGGCAGCATAGTCTACATCCACCCTTCATCCACAGTGAGTTCCCAAAGCCTGCTGATGAAGCAGAAAAGCATCTCCAAAAGGAGTCCCTAAACTCTCCCTGGTGCTTGCTTTGTGCTCTGCTGCAGTGTTCATTCTGAGGGTGGGGAAGAGCCTCACTTGCTCAGGCTTGGTCAGGGTTTGGGTTATGAAGTGGGAGTGACACAGGCTGGGCTTTCCCTCTGGCTCTTCGGATCACACGGGCAATTCTAAAATCTGAAAACCCAAAACCTGATTAACACCCCCTCACATCTCAACCACTGACATCCTGCTGCTTTCAGGTGGGGCTCTGAAAACCAAACCAGCTTTGAATTTTTCAGCTCTACAACCAGGAGACCCTGCTGGAGTGGATCATCTTCCACGACGTGGCCGTCACCTCCAAGATCTACGTGCGCACCGTGTGCCCCGTGCGCTACGAGTGGCTCCGGGACCTGCTGCCCAGGCTGCACCAGGTGGATGCCTATGAGCTGAGCAGTGTGGCCAGGGAAGAGGTCACTGAGGAGGAAATAACCAAGTGGAAGCAGAGGGAGGAGCTGAAAAGGCAGTTTGGTAAGCACAGTGCTCCTCTCCGTGTGTGTGTGTGTGGTTTTCGTTGTTGTTTTGGACCCCTGTGTGTTTGTTGTGGCACGTTCTGGGCTGGAAAGTGTTAATTTGTTTGGTGTTGTTGTGGGTGTTTTATTCTCCTCACAGCTCTGCAATACTTATTTTCTGTCCCAGCAGTGTGAATTGTGGTGTTTGCTTGCCACACTCCCCCCCCCTTTTGGTTTCTTAGAGCAGAGCTCGAGCAGAGTTGAATAAAAGCATTTTGAGGCTGGTTATTTAAGTTTGTGAAGGGTATTTAGCTATTGATGCCCAAATAATGCTGCCCTGGGAGAGGTCCTGAGAGCTGTGGAGCAGAGGAATGGGGAAAAAAAAAATCAAAAACCTCACCCAGCAATAGACAGAGAAGAAAAAGTCTCACATTTTGGTGAGTGTCTCATTCTGACAATGAATTTAATGCCATATGTGTGAATAGTCTGTGTTAATTAGAACTGGTGCCTGCTAACTGATCTGGCTGCTTGACATTCCTGGGATTCTCCTGTCAGCAGGTTCCTAAAGCAGCCAAGTATTCAAAAGGCCTCTTTACTCCTGAGCTGATCCTTCCAAAACATCCATTTATTGTACAGTAAATACAGACTCTCTTCCATTTCCTTAACAAAGGAAAAAATGCAGACTTGTGCTCAGGCCAGCATCTCTTGCTGCCCTGCATTATTGTATAAATCCACAATTTTAAACATGAATTTCATTTGGTTATAAATAATGCAGAAGGGCCTCATCAGTTTATCTGAAGGAAATGTTCTCTGTGTCCCCCTTCACATTATGACTTCATCAGGCAATTGCCAATTAATTGGAGTTTAATTTTGACCTTACAGATGTTGTATTTCTGGCACCTTCATGAAAATAGGTGGCTGAATAGCTGACAAGACACAATAATTAGAAATATTTTAACAAGGGGTGCTGATTAAAGCTCTTCTCTTCCCAACCCCCAGGACCAGGCTGCAGGAGCTGCTTCACTCACACAGATTTTAGGCTCTCAGAGCCTTTGATTTTCTTTTTTATTGTTTGTTTTAGACTGAAAATATTTTCTGCTTCTCTTCCCTTCTGTGAGAAGCAGTCCCAAGGTCTCAGTGCTGTGGGGGAATGTGCATTTCTGATGGTGGCTGATCTGCAATATTGACTTTTCCCACTCCCTTATCTGCATGTTTTCCTCTCCCTCCCTCCTGCCTCCGGAAATTTTTTAAAGATAGTTTATCCCAATGTTTTTTCCTGTCCTGTCCTGCCCAAACCTGAGTTTGGGATGTGCAGTTCAGAGATGAAATGGGTGTGTAGAACACAGGCTGCATATTCTCTGCTACAATAAAAAGCAAGATTTGGAGATTGAGATGAGCCCAGCTGCAAATATTTGGGGATTGAGATGAGCACAGCTGACATGGGAGCTAAGGTGTAATATTATTTTGAATTTTTTTCCCTCCCTGCTGTGGTGCAGTCTGTCCTCTCTGGAAGTCATTCAAATGGCTGCATGGGAGGAAAAAAAAAAAAAAAAAAATTTTATTGGGGTTTTTTTTTTGTATTTAAGAAATAGGAGGAGTTGTAATGCTGGAGGGGGGGTGGGTTTGACACAGAGAGTTAATTTCTTTCTCTCCTGTCCCCCCAGAAGGTGTCCCAGAGAGCTCTGCAGGGAAGATGGAGAGGAGGAATGATGAGCAATCCATCCAGGACGCCCGAGCTCGGTACCTGCAGAGGAAGCAGCAGAGAGCTCAGGGTCTGAGTGGCCCTGAGAAGGAAATGGGGTGACCCTGCTGGCAGCTCTGCTCCCACTGCCAGGGGAGGCAGCTTGTGCAGCTCTGGGGCTGTTTGCAAAATGCCCAAGGGCTGGCAGGAGGGCAGGGGAACCTGTGGTCAGTCCCAGTGCCAAAGAGGACAAACACAATTCCCTCTGCTGCATCCAGCAGGGAAAACTTCCCAAGCTTTGTGTTGCTGCAGGTCAGTGGCAACAATTTGGTGGCCTCAGCTATGGCTGAAGCCCTGATACCAAGTGTGGTGCCAATTCTCTGGCATTTATTTGACTTAAAAGAGCTCAGAAATTTTTCTTCCAGGTCGGTTGGGGTTTATTTTTGTAAGGAGTGGAACTGTAATTTTTTACCCATTTTATTCTGTCTGATGGTGGTCATGCAGAATTCATGCTCAGGAAAATGTGCAGGAAGGGTTCTTGTAATGGTGGGAGCAGCAGGATTAGATCCAAAGGGACAATTGCAGGATTAGATCCAAAGGGACAATTCCCACCTGCATTCTGTGCTGTGCTGTACCAGGTGCACACAGGGAAGTAAAAATGTTTTTCCTTGAGCATCTGAAAGAGCAAGGAGCTGTGGTGCTTTGTCATCATGAAGTTTGTTTCCTTCTCAATAAAGAAATCCTGTTTTATCACCATAATAATCCTAAAACGCTCCAGGGCTCCAGTGAGCAATTTGTGTAAGAATTTCCAAATAATTGGAAGAACTTGCTGTGATTTTTCCTGCCTCAGCTGTGTGCTCTGTGTCACCCTGGGCACTGGTTCAAGTGGTGTATTGTGTTTTATTGCTGTAGCCTGAATAAAACATTCACCATTCCACCTCTGCCTCACCTCCAGCATTCCAGCACTGCCCAGGATCCCAGAGCCTCCAAAACCATAGGAATTTTAAAAAATATTACAATATTATTGCTCATAAAGAAAGTGCTGGGTCTGGTAATTGTTCCTCTTGCTGTGATTGATGGGAAAGGGTTTTTGTTCTTTCAGGCTCTGCTTTGGAGCAGCAGCTCTTGGGCTTGACTCATCCCCTGCTCTGAGTTTTGCTGTTTAATTTGATTTATATTTGCAGTGTCACTGCCCCTCATGAGTCAAATGCCATCTGCACCACCCAGTGGGCCTGAAATGAGTACACAGAATGCCCACTGTTCCTTGGGGCTATAAATCATTTGGCAGATCCTAATGCTGATTTTTTTAATCTTTTTTTTCATTTTTCTTCATAGCAAGAAGTGAGGGATTTTCCCCCCAGTGTGTTCCAGGGCTTCTCAGAGGTTTGGAGATGGGGAATTTAAGACAAAGTAAAAATTATCTGGGGAGGTAACACTGAGCTGTTAAATAAAGTAAGATTTCAGCCATGCCAAGTGTGACAGCACACAGAGCTCTGGATGCTGACCTCAGGAAAAAGTTAAGTTTTTACCTGTTTTACGTGCTGGAGTTAAAGTGTGAGTTAATGAAACACAGAGGGGCTTCGTTACTGTGCTGCACTCATTAACTGGGGCCTGGGAAGAGTCTGGGACAGCAGCCCTGAGCTGAGGGACAGGGACAGCAGGGGATGGGGGAATCCATGAGATCATGGGAACAGGGACAGCAGGGGATGGGGGAATCGAGATCTGGGGACAGGGACACCAGGGGATGGGGGAATCCAGCAGATCATGGGAACAGGGACAGCAGAGGGAGAGGAAGCACCGAGATCTGGGGACAGGGACACGAATCCATGAGATCATGGGGACAGGGACACCAGGGGATGGGGGGGAATCCAGCAGATCATGGGAACAGGGACAGCAGAGGGAGAGGAAGCCATGAGATCTGGGGACAGGGACACCAGGGGATCGGGATCCATCAGATCATGGGAACAGGGACAGCAGGGGATGGGGGGGAATCCATGAGATCTGGGGACAGGGACACCCCAGGAATGGGCAATCCATGAGATCCTGGGGACAAGGACGCTCCAAGGATGGGGAATCCATCAGAACTCGAGGACAGGGACACCATGGGATAGGGAATCCACCAGAACCCGGGGACAGGGACAGCAGGGGGAAGAGGAATCCCTGAGATCCTGGGGACAGGGACACCAGGGGATGGGGCTCCTTTAGATCCCGGTGACAGAGATGCTCCAAGGATCGGGGATCCATCAGATCCCGGTGACAGGGCCACTCTTGTCCCCTCGGTGTCACCTCGGGGGGGTGTGGCTCCATCACATCCCCATGACACCCTGGGAGGAAGGGGGGGGATCCATTGCATCCCGGTGGCGGGGACATCCCTGTCCCCTCAGTGTCCCCAAGGAGGGGACATCCCTCCCATGGCGGGGGTGTCCATGGCATCCCGGTGACAGGGACACCCCGGGGGGGGTGGTCCAGGGGCTCCCCCGGTGTCACCCCCGGTGTCACCCCCGGTGTCACCTTGCCCGGCCGCGCCGCCGCGCCCCACGTGACCGCGCGCGCGCGGGGCGGAAGTGACGCCACGGCCCCTCGGTCGCATGATGTGGCAAAAAAAAAAAAGGCCGGGGAAGGCAGGGAGGGGGTGATGCGTCCCCAAATAGTCCCTTCCGGCGGCGCATCACACCCGCCGCTCCCATTGGCGCCGCTCGCCGGGATCCCTCCGCGCGGCCGGCCGGCGGCGGCAGGTGCGGGTATCCTTCCGCGGCGGTATCCTTCCGCTGGCGGGGGCAGCTTCCGCACGGCCCCGCTCCGCCATCGCGGCCCCGCTCCGCCCGCACCGCTGAGCCCGGCCCGGCCCGGAGCGCCCCGCCGCCGCCATGGCCCAGATCCTGCCCATCCGCTTCCAGGAGCACCTCCAGGTGGGCGCGGGGGCGGGCGGGCCGCTGCCTCGCTGCGCTGAGGGAGCCGCCCGGGGACGGTGCCGGGGGAGCCGCGCCGGGCCTGCCCGCGGCGCCTCCGTGAGGGCCGGGCGCGCTCGGCGGGGTGTTCGCCCTGCCGGTGTCCGGCTCGGGGAGCGCTGCCCGAAGGGCACCTCCCGGGAGGGGCCGGGCCGGGCATGCCGCCCTTGCCGGTGCCCGCGGGCCGTGCCCCGGCGGGGTGGGCGAGGCTGGCGCGGTGCCCGGGCGGGCCGGGCGCGGGTGGCTCCGCTGCTCTTGCCGGAGCAGCGCCAGGGGGAAATCCCGGCCCGGCACGGGGTGCGGGGGGGGGGTGAGCTGGGCAAGGTGGCCGAGCGGTGTCCGTGTGCCGCTTAATTTTATTTATTTGAATGGTGTTAGAGCTTCTGTGGTTCTAAGGACAAGCTGAACCCTTCTGCCGGTGGTCCCGCTTGGAATGTCATTTTCTGGAGGGAAAAGCGCGTATTGCAGCGGAACGTGGGAGCTGCTGCGGCTCCCTGCAGTGCAGCTGTGGCAGTGCAGGTGCCCAGGTGCCAGCTCCGGTGTCCGCTGGCCTCTCCGCAAGCCCAGCTCTGGCTCTCGTTGCACCAGAACCACACGCCAATGGTTTATTTCCCAGTGATGGCATTGAATTCGTCCAAGACTTCCTGGAGGCACGTCCCGGGTGGGCTGCGGGAGTGCGGGGCTCCCTCCCGGGGCAGTGAGTGCCTCCCTGTCCGTGGGTGAAGCTGCGGCGCAGGGAGGGGTCTGGAAGGGCTGATCCAGTTGTGCAATGGGCACTTCCTATCTGACAGGTCTGAAGGGCGAAGTGCTGCGAGGCACGGTGTTACTAAGCCCGGTTTCACTGCTGAGGAGTGGTTTTTTTGTGGTTTTTTTTTTGGTTTTTTTTTTTGAGGACAATTTGTCTAATAGAAGCTGGCACACCTGGCCAAGGTCTTCTGGTGGCACGTGTTGCTAGTGTCTGTCTGTGTTTGGTTTCTGTTCAGCTGACTGGGGCTGTGGTGGGCAAACACATAGTGATGGATTTGCATGATTTACAGTGCCTTTTTTCCCTAATTCAAATAGAAAGCAATTCATTTCCAGGCACCTTGTTAAAAGAACCACTGCAGAATACTTAGTTGAACACTACAGCTTTTCATAGTGGCTAAATAAACGCTACTTTGATGGTTGTTTAGGTGTGTAGCTGAGCACTGAATGGTTTTACTCCAATATCAGTTTAAAAGCAGGCCAGAATTCGTAGTTTAGGTGTCCCTGTAGTGAGCAGCACTGACAGGAGAATCTCAGGAATTGGCCAGAGCTTCACCTCCCAGCTGGTGCCTTGTCCTGGTGGTGACAAAGCCCAGACCCAGGTCCTCAGGAGGTTCTGTGCTCTCAGGTGAAACCCATCCCTGTGGGCAGCCCAGCTCTCACTCAAGCATTGTGGCAGTGCACCTTTGTGCATTATTTAAGCCCCAAACCTTGCATGTGACCCACTGCCAGGTCTCTAATGACATGAGTACTGTTACATAATGAAACTCATCTGCTTCACGCCAGAAGTGCTGGGAGTTTCAGGCCAGCACTTACGGTGGAGCAGGACTGGTGTGCCTCCAGACTGATTTATCTGTTTATTTGGGGTTGAATTTGCATTTTTCTCTGCCTGAACCTATTCAGTGTGGAGCACTGGCTGAACCAGTATATTTTACAGCTGCACACAGGAGCTGATCCTTTCTCAGATGGGTGTGCACCCCTCTGAGCCTGGGTGCACGTGGCTCTTGCCTTTGAACTTCCTCCTTTCATTTCATTGAAAGAGTTTCAGAGGAATTTGGATTCTAGGAGTTATTTGCTTTTCTGCTGAAGTTCCTGACGTAAATTTTGGGAGCAGAAACACTGATATTGCAATGATTTTGCTATCCAGGCTGCTCCTGGGAAGTCCTCATGGACTCAATAATACAATTTCTTGAACTGTGCCTGACCCACATTCTCTAGGAAACTTGTTGTACAGGTGTTGTGCAACACCTGCAAGTTTGTAGTGATTCTTAATGAAAGATGAGGTACCCAGCTGGAGCCTTAGCCATAAAAACCAGGTGATGGATTTGAATGAGAAAGTTCTTGCAGGCTATTACTGAAATCAATCAATAAACACAGTGTGATCCTAGCTCTTCACAGATTCATTATTAGAGGTTAAAAATTGGTCAAGTACAAAACTTGTCCTGGTGTTCAGCTTCAAGCCAGTCCATTAGCTGTTGCTGTTGGCAGCTTGGCTGTGTGATTTAGGAATGAAAAGGTGAAAGCTTGAGAAACCTTGCTCCTGAATGCCTCATCTCAGTGCTTTGTACCCCAAATTGGAGCTAAAGGTGGACTTTGGACAAGTAGCTAACTTGCTAGGGAGGAGGGAGCTTTCTGGGGAGTGTAAAACCAAAAAGTGTTGTCAGGTTCCAGGGTTTGTTTGTCAGAGTCACAAGCTCTGCAATCTCAGCAGCCCCAGGTGTGCGGGCTCTTATCTGTGTGGTGTCTGTTGTACACCCTGCCTTGCCACCAAGGAACATCAACAACAGGCTGTGCAGAAACTTTCCTTGGGAATTTTCAGGGAGGAACCTGATTCCTATGCTATCAAAACTCTTGTTGTAAAACTTTATATAGCTGCTGCCTTTTCCCCCCACCCCCCCCAAAGTGGCTATGAGGAAACAGTCCACTGGGTATGTAGTGGGAGATCAGAGTTCAGTGTGTGGGATGATTGCATATCTGGTTGCTCCTGTGCAGGCTTCAGGGATTCCTGAAATGTGCCTCTGTGTGTTTGAGGGTGAAAATAAAACAGCTACTTACTGTGGTGGGTCAGAGGAGCTTTTCTAAGATGACAAGTTCTTGATGGGTGAGAAGGAACCAGACTAATTAGCAGGTGATGAACTGTGATTGCCACTTAATTTAACCACACTACCCTGAAATACATAAACATTGAACTTGGACCAGGCCCACTGCTGTACTGATTTAAGGCATTAATAAATACTCTGCTGGA